AAAATGTTTTTGCTCTTGGAAGTTATTTTTTCGGAAAATTATAGTTCAATGTTTGTGACTTTCGCATGCTTTATTGTTTTAAACCTTTGATTATAAAATCATGATGTCTCGGGTGAGTTGCTTTTTGTGATATAATACTCTATTTTATGATTAAAATGAACATCTTGTTTGTAAGTTTAACTGCATACAGTCAAAAACAATTTTGTTGCAAGCAATACGACGTAAGATATTAAAACTGGTGCAAACACTTTCTTTTATTCTGTCTAAATTATATTTACAGTAGTCCTACAAACAACATTTTGATATGAACATGTATCTGATAATATTGTAGGAAACTAGTGTTGTTAAAACCCCACATGTGTTCTATAAACGAAAAATAATGCAATACCAAAACAATTTAAAGACAATGTTTCAAAGCCAAAAAAACACTATGGTTATTTTATAAGATATTTTTAAACCGTTAGAAAATGTCACAAACATGTGTAAATCATAACAATATGTTGCATTCATTCATTCATTTATCATTCATTCATTTTTCATACATTCATTGATTTATTCATTTATTTGTTTGTTTGTTTTTTTTTTTTTTGGTTTATTTTGCTTTTTCAGCAACATTATTTTATGCCAGCAAGAACGTGCAAAATGCTTTTATAAAAAAATGTATTGCAGTTTTATTTATTATTCATTTTTATAATTTTCTATCAACATAATATATGTCTACTAATTGAAAGCAGTGTGTCCATGCATGCAAATTGTACTATAATTGTATTATAAGATTTTTAAAAGATAACAATGCCAAAGAACAAAAATGGAAAGTGAAATGTTGAATTTTCAAGTTTCACGACTACTGTTGTACTACATTTTATTTTTTTTTTAATTTCGAAACATCGCATAATCCTAAAGTACAAAAAGGAAGATGAGTGAACAAATGCAATAAATCACATACAATAAGTTCCATACATTTATCTTGAAATAGTGCATTAAAATTCTCATAATATTAACTGATCGTGCATATATGTTTTGATTGGACATTGTCTTTGTTAAACACCTTTCACTTGATATTAATGATAAGTAATAAAATTGTAAACTATCAGCTTTCAAATGTATGCATGTGCCGCTTTTTGAACCGACATAAATAATTAATACATAATAAGCGTTCACACTATAAAATCTTTCACAGATATTCAAAAACTATTATCAAAACTTTTAAATATTCAAGTTAAAACCGTAACACTTTGTCAAATGTATTTTTTAGTACCTAACCTTGTGCGTTAAACATCCTTTCTTTAAAATAAATTGCAGGGTGTTGAAATTAAGATTAAATTTCAATTCGAAATTAGACGATAAATTATTAATATAGAGATACCTTGAAATGCATTGTAATATATACTAGTTCAAAAGTACTACTTCGCATATGAATAAAGTATAATTTTATGTTAATGGTGTAATGTGAACTATTAAACAGTCAGATATGCGACATTATAAGATTTATGTTCATAGTGAACTATTAAGATATTCTTTAAAATATACTGATATACGAAAACGGTTTGATTTGAAGTGAATTAATTATTAATAAAGTGTATTACCTGTGCACATCAAGAAGATAAAATATGCATGCAAATGGGTATTAAGCTTTCTAAAACAGTATATGAACATTTCTCATATTAAATATATTGGCTGCACATCGGAGAGCTATTCGTCTTGCCTCCTTAATATAGTTGTATTTCAATAACATCAATTTAGTTTTTCAGTTGAGTGAATAATATAGTTCTTAACATTCACTGAAATAAAGCCCTTAAGGTAAGATCCCTGTAATGGAATCGGGGTTTTCCGTGCCATGTCGGCATTCTACGTAACTTATCGGCACATCCGTTACCTCTCGCCCGTTTCCGTAAACAGATTTATGTTTTATTTATAAATGAATAAATTATCCATATAATTATATCCAGTACAAATAGAATTTTATTTTTTGATAAAATGAAAATGAAATTATCAAAAAGAATATGTTGTTTGTAAACGGATAATTCGTAAAAACCCCGTTGCTGTGAAACCAGGTTGGGAAACCCCTATATGACGTCACGTTTTCAGAAAATAGACCACAGAAGCGAAAATGAAAGTAAGAGACAGAAAAGGCCGTTACAAGGCCAAAAACAAACGCAAGTTGAGAAAAGAACCTAATATTCTTGTGGATTATAATAACCCTCACTTATTGAGCATTTGTAAGTGCAAAATTGGTAATTGTCCAATTTATGAACACCGACAGAAGGGATCGGCAGGTGGGTGGAGAAAAGCTAGACGGGTGATTGAGTTCGACGTTTTAGTTAGAAATTTAGCTCACTGCAAGGATTGTCGTCTTGGAACTTTATTCTCACAAGCGACAACATTGTGGGGGAGCTGTAAAATGGCTTGGGTGGCTATCTGTACGTTATGTGTTCGAATTTAGAGTGAGGAGTTGTAAATTTGGTTTCATATGGAACAACACACCGCAACAAAACGAAGGGGATGATGTCCTGCTTTGAAATAAACACAAAGCTTGGATTTGGTAATTATTATTTTTTATTTGAAACAAATTTAGATATTTTAGAATGTTAATCAGCCAGGTTCCGAGGCACTAGATAATAAGTGAATGACAAAGTAATTTGAGCCGTGTCGCGACAAACCTAACATAATGGGTTTGCGACCAGCATGGATCCAGACCAGCCTGCGCTTCCGTGCAGTCTGATCAGGATCCATGCTGTTCGCTTACAACCCCTATAAAAAGTAGACAAACTGATAGCAAACAGCATGGATCCTGATCAGACTGCGCGGATGCGCAGGCCGGTCTGGATCCATGCTGGTCGCAAACCCATTATGTTGGTTTTGTCGTGACACGGCTCATTTTAATAATTGTAACTTGTAAATATTACAGAATTTACACCGGCTCACAAAAACTGTTTTATTATAGGTAAATTTAATTCTGTCGATATCTCGCCATAATATAAATTGCCGAATATCATCATCAAAATCAATTAATAGAAATATGTATGTTCATTATTTGTGAAAATGTATTGATAATAAGTAGTGCAATTAAGTAACTGGCTGAAAATGTCATAAGCAATGTGAGTAACTGGCTGAAAATTTAATAAGATAGATAGATAGATAGATAGATAGATAGATAGATAGATAGATAGATAGATAGATAGATAGATAGATAGATAGTTTATTCATATAAGACGTGTACAAAATGCACATGGTCACAAAATACATATATTCAAATATAATTAAACATCACGTAATCATCAAAGTAAACATTATTTAGTAGCAAAGTGTCATACAATGATACAACTACATCTTTGGACTGTATTAACAAAAATAAATGCAAGTGCAAGCATTGCATTTATTTTTCATTGAAAAAATGCTGTACGGCTAGCCTAAACAGTGCATATATGCTAGTCATCTGTGACTCACAGCTAGAAATTTTGGCTAGCATTACGGGCCTGTACGACTGGCTACCTCCAATGTAAAAATACAATATATGTAACACTTCTCTCTCAATTTTAATTTTCTCGTCAGCTAAACTGGAGATATGCAGCTTTAATGTCTTAGAATACTCTACTTCACACATGACAGTAGGCTCATGTTAGTGAACTCAGTGATTTTAATATTTATAAAATCTTATTCACGCCCTAGAAAATAAAAATTTCAAGCATTACTCAACAGTTAAAAGGTAATTAAGTATTTAAAAAATTATCGTTTAAGGTTTATGCACATTCACCATCTAATTTGAACAATGATTGTAACTGCTTTTTTTCTGTCATATTTACAGCAATGATTGACAGCATTGGTGGGGCTGTCAAAGTTAACAATTTCCTTGCCACTCTTGATCTTAAGCTGATAAGCCTAGAAAATCTTAAGGAAATTGAGAGAGGGCTGGTGAAGTGATAGAAGCTGTCTGAGCAAAATCACAGAAACGGTCAGCTGAAGAGGCTTACAAATAAAGAAATGGAGTATGTAATTAACTTGTTACCACAAAACATTTTTTAATTTACATCTCTTTAATTGAGAATTTAGTATCTAAAAAATATTTATGCCATTTAAATAACAAGCCATTGTAGACTATTGTCAAAATTGTTTTACTCCTTAATACGAAAAATAATTTACCACTTCTGAGTTAAACGCATTAAGTGTATAAAATATATTTATAGTCTGTTCAATACATGTGCCATCATTCATGTTAAACATTTTCCACCACAGGGACTGCTGAGGTTTAAACTTTTTCAATGTTTATTCAGGGTGTCCGTTTGACGCTTGAATGACTCTTTGACCCTTCAAATTTCCAAAAGGCCTGATGTGACCCTCAGGATTTTAACTGGAGGGTCAAATTTTGTTAAAATCATGGGAATTTGGCCTTGAAGTCGGTAAAACATTGTCTAAATGACCCTCAGGATTTCATGGCTAGTGAACACCCTGTAAATTATGTAATATACAGTGTCCGCTCTGTAACTTTCATATACATTAAAGTTTCAATTTTTATTTAAAAATATAAAATCACCATAGATGAACTATGTGTTGTGAACAAGACACAGGTTTCTTTGTCTCACTTAAAGGTCACTGCTGGGGTTCGAACTTTGTCAATTTTTACCACCACATGTAAATTAGGTGGTTTATAACTAGAATCCTTAGGGGGCATTTGTCACTTTCTGTGACAGCTCTTGTTTTTTTGTGTTTGAAGGTGTGTTTATCATTTATTTGCATGCAGCACTAGATTCAGAAGCATTTTTCTTCTGCAGAAAAAAAATAAAATAAGACTCTCATTGTGATCATTATAATAAGCCTAAGTAATACACATGCTATACTTAATTTTGTATGGTAATAACTGTAAGATACAAGGTGCTAGATGTTTAAGTCATGGATAAGGATCTTAAAACCCTTCAGAACCTTATATTATTTGCAAGTTTTTCCTTTCACTTCCAAGCACTGTGTATAAAAGCTATCTATATAATATGATGTGACAATTTTAGGTATTGGTCATACAGCAGACCCAGATATACAGACCTTACCAGATGCAGTTTCTAAGGGAAAGTTCAAGCCAGTAAAGACAGAAAATCCTACATTTATAACATTTGATTTGGAAACTACAGATCTAAGTGAGTTGACATTTGCTTTCCTAAAACCAGATTTTGAATATAGAAAAGAGATAAAAGTCATATGTCACATTTCTAAACTGTGTAAAGTATTGAAATAATCATTATTCCAATTTCATGCTAAATTTCTGGAGAGTAACAGTATGTAATCCTATAATTTATTTTCTAATGCATAAAGTAATTGTGCAGACAGGGTAACAGTTTTCACCATTACAATATGCTAGCCTATATGGGTACATCTTTTGTCACTTTATAGTACAATATCAATATATTTATTGCAGTTCGAGGTTCACAGATGCCACATATAACACAGATTGCAGCTAAAGAAATAAAGACTGCTGCTTCATTTTATCAGAATATAATTCCTCCAATGACAATAGCAGTAGAACCTCAACGAAAAACTGGCATAAAAGTCACAGATGATGGTTATATAGAGCATAGTGAACATGATAATAATTTAAATGTACATGAATCTTTACATCATAAAATAAATAAATACAAGGGATGATCTTGGATTTGCATGTAAGATCAAAATGTATTTCATAAAGTTAACGTCAGATGCAACATTTTTATTAGTCGCATAGCCATGAGTTTTAGTATAAAAGCTAATGCTAATAAGTAGAATACACACACCCGATGATACTAGTATAATTTTATCTAACATGTGAAGTATCAGTAAACAATATTTATGTTTATTCTGTGACTCTGTGACTGTTTAGTCATTTTATTGCTTTTTACATGATGAGGTCATTTAAATTTAATAACTGCAAATCGGCTCTTACTCGGCAGTAATTAGTGTAGCCGCTTTTTCATGAAGAAACCAGTGCTGATAGTGAAGATTGTGATTGGCATATTTTAATTAGCCAGGTCAGGTGTTTCTAAAAAGGCTGATAACACTGTAGCAATGTGAGGATACATTCAAATTTATTACATAGATAATGCACGTGGAGCTCAGCTCACAGAGACAAATGAGAACACAGTAACTTTTTGATATCCTTTTAACTCTAAGAAAAAGGTCAATTATTAATTGCTGACTGTTTATATTTTCTAGAAAAAGTAAGCAAAACATTATTTTGTTTCATATGACAGGAATGAATTGCATTTAACAATCCTATGTATTGTTGAAAACTCATTGTTTTACATGCCAGATTAAGTAATTGGACCCCATCCTTGTTTGTACGTGACTGCTGGGGAAAAATAATGTTATGCTTAATTAAAGAGGTGACACTTTATATATTTTTATCTGATATCGAGTTGTAAGAGCCTATTTGCAGTTATATGGGTAAGAGTTTGATAAGACTCCCTACGGTCGTCTTAATACGAACTCTTACCCATACTTGTGAAATGGAAGTTTCGTCCGTTATGAGCAACCAGAACTGGATCGGGAACTTCCTGATGTCATCAAATCATGACATCATAATGTTCATGTTGAAAATATTCGTGTTAAAAGTAAATCTATAACAGTATCAAGATTTTGAGAATGTGATGTATGCAAATTTATAATATACTAGTGCCAATGTTGTGACTTCATAAAAATGGTATTGTATGACTGTCAGTGTGCAAATATTTAGATCTGATGACATTTCCCTTATACAAACATAAAGACGCCATAAATGTTAGAGTTACAGTAAAGACGCATCAATGGAGAATTATTATTTTTTATTTTAAACAGTCTTTATTTTGTGCATGTGATACATATAATATTATATTTATGTAGGTTTGTTTCTGCATTGGTTCAATTCGTTGAATGTAATAATATAATAATTTGCTCGCCAGTACTAAATTCAGTATTGAACATTGAACACTCCTTCAATATCCTCTATACATCAGCTTTTGTGTTATTATGTTCTGATATTTTGGAAGTGAAATTATTTAAATATTACTTCAATATTTTACTGAGAGGATGCAATGAATTCAAGTAGTTTCTTGTGATGAAATAGTTATTCTTGTAATAAATTTCAATAATTTTCCTGTTAGATTTTGGAAGTTAAGCAATGAATTTTTTTGAGAATGTGAACATGACAAATATTATAAAACAATATTTGAATATTTCATTTTAATAACTGTACATTTATTAAGATAGCCTCTGTTTAGAAAAACACATAAATAATCATATTTTACAAAATCTGCTGTTTTCCAAGAGATAAGTAAGACAGGTAACAGCTATGCTGTACATTTTTGTTTCGGAATATTTTTTACATCATTTTGTAAAACATTTTTTTTGTCAAAAAAGTAATGTGGAAAGAGGTCATGAAATTTCCATATTTTGATTGCTATGGAAGAGTATTAAAAGTTATAGAAGTAATTTGCTTGCCCCAATTTAAATATTAAAAATAATAATAATAATAATTCTTATTTTATATCTATTTTTATGTGTTTTTCTAAGTTTCAGAAATCTTGGATGAGGTTTTAGTCAACTGGCTGAAATCAATACATTTTGTGAACAATTTATTGTTATTTTGTTATCATAATATATGTCTTGAAACATAATAAACACTTACATTGTAGGTAAAAGCTGCACATTTTTTTTTTCATATGTATTCCTTACCCCTACCCCCACTGTTTTGGGGGCAATTTAGTGGGAGGGGGTATTCACATAAAAATGCTTATAATTTGAAAACTTGATGGTAAATGTCTTTGAAAAGTTGCAATTGAATAAGTTAAATAGAGTACTTTGATAAAATATTAAGCTTGATCAGGTTCCTATATATACCCATTACAGGTATCTTACCTTAACCCATTACTGCATGAACATTTTGTGAAAAATAGCTGTTTTCATTGAAGAGTCTCCCTTTTCAAGATCAAATTACTATAAAACCGCTTAAAAAATATTCAAACTTGGCACAAATGTTGACTGAACCATTGCCTTTGTAACAACATGTTTTAAATTTCCTGTTACCAAGGCAACGAGGGGACATCTCAAAATTGCACTATTTTGCGTTGAATTTTCCCATCAATTTTCATTTCAAAGTGCTGCAACTGCTTAATGGGTTGGGATAGAGTCAAAGGCTTTTCAGCGTTGGTTACACGTTATCTTATGATCGTCCTTGGTCATTTTTAGCCTCTCACATGTCAAACACTATTCTTGGCGATTAAGGGGGAGCCGCCCCCTTTAAACCCCCAAACAACAGGGGGCACATCCCCCTTCTGGCAACCTTTGATGTATATTTTGGATAGGTGGCGGCGCCGAAAAAATGGTCACTTTTTTAAACAACATTTCTTAAACAAAATATTCATCTAATCAATATTTGGAATTGTATATGTAAAATGAGAAGTAATACTATGTCCATTAACCTAGATTTGGGTGTTACGAAAAACTGGAAAATTTGCTACCATTAATTGTCCTTAAATCACTATGCAATCGTGTCTTAATTTACACTGACTTATTAATGTAACTTTAAGATATGATGTTATCTATCGTAGTCTTCATTGAACATGATTT